TTTGGGGGGGTCTGGTTGTGGGGCCTGAACTCTGGGCCTGGGCGCTGTCCCTCAGCTCTTCAGCTCAAGGCTAGCGCTCTACCACTTGAGCCACAGCACCAGTTTCAGCTCTTTTCTTTTTGCTTATGTAGTGCTGAGGAATCGAACCCAGGGCCTCAGGCATGCAAGGCAAGTGCTCTACTAATGAGCCACCTTCCCAGCCCCACTCACAGGATTTTTAATACATGCTCACAGCAGCTTGTGATATAACAAAGAAATAGCTGAAGGGAGATTTTCTTACAGTTAAGAGCATGAATTCAAACTTTAGTTTTACCATTACCATATGATTTTGAACATTATCCAGTTTAGCAAAGTTGCAAAACAGCATTTTAAAAAAGTGAAATAAGAATCTAAAATATCAGGCTGGGAAGGTGGCTCAGTGGTAGAGTGCTTGCCTTGAATGCATGAGGCCCTGAGTTTGGTTCCTCAGCACCACATAAGCAGAAAATGCTGGAAGTGGCGCTGTGGTTCAAGTGGTAGAGTGCTAGCCTTGAGCTGAAGAGCTGAGGGACAGTTCCCAGGCCCAGAGTTCAGGCCCCACAACTGACAAAATAAATAAATAAAATAATAATAATCTAAAATATCAAAGTGCATCACACATGGAGTATTTCATAAAATTCATTAAGACATGTTTATGTATCACTCTTCAGTGGTCATGATATAAAATATATCTCTTACTGTGGGCTGAAGTAAAACAATATGGAAAAGCAATTACTAACCATTCTGAAGCTCACTTTCTATTAATTTGGGCTAAAGTTTCTTTCATGGACTTGTACGGAAAAAACTGCTAACTTTTCATTTCACTGGGGGAAAAGCTTGTAATATCTATGGTTAGGGGAGGACTTTATTTTTTGTTTTGTTTTAGTATTGTAAATTGAACTTAGGGCCTTACATAATAGACAGGCACTCTGCCACCGAGCCACCGACACATACCACCAGCCCTTTGTTTTTCATTTTACTCTTATTACAGGGTCCCATTAAGCTGCTCAGGCTGGCCTTAAACATGTAACTCCTGCCTCAGCCTCTTTAGTAGCTGTGATTATAGGTGCGGTATCATAGATGTGTACCACCATGTCTGGCTTTTATTTGGCCACAAAGGTGTTTAACATATAATTGTAGTTATGGCATGATATAAGTCCTATAATTTTACTAGTCTTCCAGTAAGCCAATTTCTTTCCCATATTTAATGAAATTAGTTTTTGTGCCAGTCCTGGGGCTTGAACTCAGGGCTTAGGCACTGTTCCTGAGCTTTTTTTTGCTTACGGCTAGTATTCTACCACTTGAGCCACAGTGCCCACTTCTGGCTTTTTTCTGTTTATGTGGTACTAAGGAATTGAACTCAGGATTTCAGGCATGCTAGGCAAGCACTCTACCACTAGGCCACATTCCTAGCCCTTTGATGAAATTTAAATAAGACAAATGTCATTATCTTATCCTGTTTGTACTTTCCTGCCCTCCTCACAATCAATGTGACACACACATACATACTTTTCCACCAAGACAAGAGGCTTCTTCACAGGCATATATGCTGGGAATATGGCTTAGTAGTAGCTTAGCATGCCTAGCATGCATGAAGCCCTGGGTTTGATTCCTCAGTACCACTTACACAGAAAAAGCCAGAAGTGAGGCTGTGGCTCAAGTGGTAGAGCACTAGCATTGAGCACAGACAGGCTCAGGGACAGTACCCAGTCCCTGAGTTCAAGCCCCAGGACTGGAAAAAATAAAAAAAAAATAAGTTCATGGGTTGAAGACTTTCATATAACACATGTTCTATTTTTATACATAATATGGGAAAAATAATAGTATTCCATTTTAGCCAAACACTTGTGGTTCATGCTGGGGTCCTAGCTATCCAAGAGGCTGAGATCTGAGGACCATGGTTGGAAGCCAGCCTGGGCAGAAAAGTCCATGAGACATCTCCAATTAACCACCAGAAACCAGAAGTGGAGCTGTGGCTCAAAGTGGTAGAGTCCTAGCTGTGAGCAAAAGAGCTCAGGGGTAACACCCAGACCCTGAGTTCAAACTTCATGACCAGGAAAAAAAAAGTATAACCAGAGCAAAAAGGGCTCTAGTGAGCTGGGAAGGTGGCTCAGTGGTAGAGTGCTTGCATGCATGAGGCCCTCGGTTCAATTCTTCAGCATCACATAAGCAGAAAAAGCCGGAAGTGGCGCTATAGCTCAAGTGGTAGAGTGCTAGCCTTGAGCTGAAGAGCTGAGGGACAGCGCCCAGGCCCGGAGTTCAGGCCCCACAACTGGC